CCTCTAGCGGGCAGTTGATGAATTACAGTTTAAGTCACTTCCTTGTTGGCTTCATGAGAGAGAGCGGGAGGTTGCTGCTTGATTATAACTTTATTTTTTTTTACTACTGCAGTATGCATCTATAACTTTCTGTGTGTGCTGTTGGCAACAGCCTGTTGTTGCGCTCATTTGTTTTGATTTCTGCACGAGTCTCTCACACACTCACTGAGGCCCCATTTACACTAGTGCATTTTCGTTTTAAAAGGCATAACTTTTTCTACGGTTACGCCTGTCGTTTACACTACTCTGTTGTGTTTTCGACCCTCAAAAACAGAAACTTTTGAAAACGCTGCAGACCCAGTTTTAGTATAAAAACTCTGGGGTTGCATTTCAGTGTAAACGGACCAAAACGGAGACTTTTGAAAACGATATCCTTCATGACCATGTAAACAATAACATCATGCTCATTGTTGTACACCTAGATATGTATAGGTAGATTCCCCATTTGACCGCTCCAAGCACGTAGACGCGCCTGCCATCTAAATAATAGGGAATCTACCTATGCATATCTATGGTTGTATCTGCATGAATGGTCATGTGACATGCATTTTCGGTTGTGTAGTGTAGACTGAGATAGTTTCTGAAACGCAGGGAAAACGCCAGTGTAGACGAAGATCGTTTTCATTCTAAAATGCCATTTTAAAATGAAAACGCATTAGTGTAGACAGGGCCTCAGGCTGCGCAAGCCTCATCTGGCACGACATAAAATCAGTCAGTCGCTGCAAGTGTGACGTCAAAACGGACCACCCGGTCATGCGGAAAATCGGCTAATTCCGGTGTTGTGCCGAAATCGGTGACCTAGATAAAACTGTGACCAGGGGTCGCTGTTTAGCAAATGTTCACGTGGGACCGCGCACACATTAGATCAGACGCTGCTGAAGCCGAATGATCAGGAGACGAGCGGTGCTGTAAAATATGTTTCATGTCTTAAGACTAGAAAACAAGCTAGATATTGTCACGAGCATCTAAATGCGTATATAGAATGGAAATTAAACATTAATGTTGCATTAATTAACATTAATGTGTTACTACTAAGAATGGTTTCCTTATGAGATGTTTTAGGGCTTCTTATGTAAAACATATTCTGATATCTGATAAATGTGGGTCTTATCTTTATTCTTATTACTGTTTACTGTAATTACTCAATGTTGAAGATCTACAGTTTGTTCCTTACAAATGCATATGATTGCAGTTGGCTAGGGTCACTGAATCTGACAAGTAAAAATTCATAGCTATCAAAATGTTACCACTCTTTATTTCATAATAACTGACTAAAAATGTTTAATAAAGTGACTCATGTGGTGTGTGAGCTCCTCTTCTTTCTATTTTACATAAATAAAGCATATTGATCAGATATTGATATATTTATAGATACAGTAGGGTCTTTCCCCCCTGATTTTCTTGTGCAGAGTCAATGTGAAAAATGCAGATTGAGAAGGAATTATTTTGCCCAACATGCATTTATTTATCTTGTTATCATCAGTAATGGCCAGTAGAGTCGCTACAAGTAGTGACGCTTCTAGCTTAACTACATTTCTCATAGTGTGGTGGTAGCTTTGCTGTTTTCTGAATCAAATAGCTTTTCAGTAGCGAAGCTCTGTTTTTGATCAAGTAGCGCGGTAGCGTCAACAAAAGCTACATTTTTCAAAGCATTCTGAAGCTCAAGCTCAAGCTCAAATCGAAAACATAACTGCTAAGGCTCACTGATCCTGGATCAGTAAGTGACGCCACCGCCACTAAACCCCGTAACTCCATTGGCTGTTCAAACTGTCAGTCAAACCGCATTATTCCTCCTGCCTCTTTTGTGAATGAAGTGCCGTGTGCAGTTTCTTTAGGGCAGGGGTGCCCAATCCTGCTCCTGGCGATCGACTGTCCTGCAAAGTTTAGCTCCAACCCTAATCAAACACACCTGAATCAACTAATTAAGGTCTCCAGGATCACTTGAAAATTAAAGGCAGGTGTGTTTGATTAGAGTTGGGGCTGAACTTTGCAGGACAGTCGATCGCCAGGAGCAGGATTGGGCACCCCTGCGTATTAAGAGGCGATTTGCAAAGATTCATAAAAAAAAAGGCGGTGAAACAATGGGGGACTGATGACAGCTCACTCAGGGTGGAGTTGTGATAAAAACAAAGACTGACGCCACTGTCAGTCAACAATCGTGGGAGGGGCCTGTCAGTGTGACGTCACACCACCAAGAATCTGATATCAGCTCGAGTAAGGGGTTTGGATTTATCGAGATTTAAAAAAAAGCACTAGGTGGATTTTTATCATTATAGGGTGGTTGTGTACACACACTGCCAACACACATTTATGTTCAAACAACATGTAAAATTGAATTTTGCATCCGATGACCCCTTTAAAAAAATTGAGGCCTATTTCAAAGTGTTACTTTCCGGTTTATTGTTATTTGCAAAATTTACTATCAGTTTCTGAGTGAAAATTGTTTCAATATTAACTAGATTTTGATCCATTATTTCTTCACCAATAACCGTTTATTCTAACATTTTCATGATACATTTATCTAAAGAACTCAAAATCAACAGACTATGAGTAAAGAAATAAGCTTTGGGAAAATTCAGCTACATGCTGTGTATGTGAATAAGCAATGAACGTGCACTAGATGGATGTCTCTGCTCATTTCATTGCTTTTTGATGTTTTCGTTTTTTAAAATGTCTAGAGACACAGTACCTTCATTCTGCTCATGTGTAGTCCTACCATTGTGCTCACTGATAGTTTGGTCTGAAGAGTCTCAAGTCTTAAAAAAATGTGTGTGTACTTGCATGAATGGCATGGTAGATATAAAACTTCTCTCAAAGTCAGAGTTGAATTAAGTCCCACATTACATTTTTTCTTGCTTCTTGTTCAAGAAGCCATCACTGAGATAATCACAAAGACTATCACAACTTTCATTTCATTAGATTTTAAAAATTACACCATTTTTTTCAAACTGAAACACATTGGCCATTATTTAGTACTGTCCCTTTAAGAGCAGCCCACTCTTGTTATTTCCTGTTCAGTTTGAGGTTTTCCTTTTTTGCGCACATTGCATGCAGGCACAAAAAAATCTGTTCCGTTTCTGTTGCTCATTATTATTTATTATATTCAATAACACGGCTGACAGTGGAGTGACTGATACCTAACGGTGAATTGCAAATTAAAACCACAACCTGTGGAATGCCAGCCAAGTTGTGAGTCTGTCTAACTGTACTATAGCTAACTTGGTGACTAAAACTACTCAATTTAAAAATGCAAAACAGGGTACTGGGCCCAGAGGTAAAAAAAAAAAAAAAAAAGTGTGTGTGTGTATAGTTGACAAATAAAATGAAAGGTATTTTTCCAGACTCTACATCAGCAGGTACCAGTTGTTATGGCTGTATTGTTGTAATTGGTTGTATAGTAGCTCTACACAAAATACTTTTATGGTCCTACCACTACTGGGAGAACCTGACAAACACAGCAGATAATGCTGTGATTTCAACTGGTTTGTCAAGCTCTTTGTATGAGAGTTTTGAGAATTGTGCAGCAAGGTGTATTTACAGTAGGGTTTCTGAATTTTTTTATTTATATGTATAGTGCTTTTCAAGATGGTGCAGATATATAGTTATATACATTTTCTAAAACTTTCAAAAGCAGGAAATACTGTTCACTATTTTTACTTTCGCTTTTATGTTGTCATGTTTGCATAGGAGCCACTTCCATTCCGATTTCAATAGTTTCAAAGCCTCTGTTATTCTACAGCGAATCTTCCACTGGATTTGAAAGCATCAAAATGGCAGAACTTGTCTTTGATACTCAAAATCCTTTAAATTGCCCACTCTGTCTGAATCTGCTTAAGAACCCAGTGACTACAACTTGTGGGCACAGTTTCTGTATGGACTGTATAAAGGGGTGCTGGGATCAGGATGCTTCTTTGAGACGAGCTTACAGCTGCCCTACGTGCAGGACTACATTCAACCAAAGACCAGCTCCCAGCAAAAGCACTGTCTTGGCTGAAATTGTAGAGGGACTAAACCAAGCAGTACCAGCTGGGCCTGGAGATGTGAAATGTGATGTTTGTAAAATAAGAAAACTCAAAGCTATCAAGTCTTGTCTGGTGTGTTTGGCTTCTTACTGTCAAACTCACATTCGGCCTCATTATGAGTCTGAAGCTTTCAAAAAACATAAGCTGGTAAACGCTTCCCCAAATCTACAGCAGCAGATCTGCTCTCAACATAATAAAGCACTGGAGATTTACTGCTATAATGACTGGAAGTGTATTTGTGTAGTTTGTATGGGGGATCAGCACAGTGGACATAAAACAGTCTCAGCTGCAGATGAAATGGCTAAAAAACAGGTAAGATGCTGTGATATGTACTGAAGTGATGACATACAAGATATTATATAATATAACAAATATAGGCCAAAATATTAAAAATGTAATTTCACTAAAAAAAACAAAACAAAAACTAATTTTATTCATTGAGTGCTGTGATATTTCCATGAAATAATACAATACCAGACCACATTTTTCTTCTCTATGAGAACGTGTAGCTCAATAAGTTTATGTGAAAGAAATGTGTAAGTAAAATATATTTAACTTACAGTGTACAGGGCACAAAAAAAATATTAGTATCATAACATTGTAAAATTAAAAGAAAGAAACAGTTTATAGGTTTCACTTTATTTTCTTAGTCCACTTTAGACATTCTATTAACTATAAATAACTTTGCAACTATACATGTCAACGAAATGCCAAGTTCTGTCATGAAACTGTAGATGGTGCAGGCTGATGATATCCACAGCATTAAACTACTTGGCACAAGCTGATTGGTTCATGTTGCATGTGCAGCCAAAGAGCCTGCTGCTTCTCATTTAAATGGCTCGTTAGCATTCACTAGAGCAGTTCTCAGCGCACTTTCTGAGTTCCTCTGAAACCCTCCACCTTCTCCAGCTCCACCTGTATAAATCTGCTATGGTTATTATATATGCTATTTGTGCGGCAGCCGTTGTCATGACAGAACTCTCATTAATTTGCAACTGTATGTCAACTAACTCTCATTAGAGTATTAGTACACTGTTAGGTTATGGTTAGGGTTAGAAGTTGACATGCAAAGTAGATTATCTGTTGGTGGACCATCAAAATAAAGCATTACCATATATATAAAAAATGTAAGACCATTGTTAACAAGAGATGGCAAGCGGAATAATTAGATCATTGTCTGCTAGGAAAGAAAAAGGGCTTCCTGTACAAATAAGTCCTCTTAGAGAAAACTGATTTCATTCAGTAGTTTTTTTTTTTTTTTTTTCAAATTATTGTTATTGTTTCATATGTCACTCAAGAAAAAAAAAATCTCAAAAAAATTCTAATTTATTGTAAATTCGTCCACAGAAGGAACTGAAAATACAAAACAGGGATTTCACTCAGAAAATCACACACATCGTCAAGAAGGTCGAGGCATTTAGGAAGGCTGTAGATTCTCATAAGGTAAATGTGATTGACAACTTTTAAAGAGGTTTTGAATGGGGCAAAAGGAAAAACCAAATAGCAGAAAATTCTAACAAATCAAATAGTCATATACATTTACAACACATTTTTGTTCTGTTTATTTAGTTTTGATTGCTTCTGTTGTCCTCTTTTGTAAGTCGCTTTGGATAAAAGCATCTGCTAAATGACTAAATGTAAATGTATTTATTAACCATATGCAGGTTATAGATGAAACTGCAATTATATATATATATATATATGTGTGTGTATGTATGTATGTGTGTGTGTGTGTATGTGTGTGTTTCTGTGTCCTAACAGCGCTTTGCACAGGCAGCAGTGGAGCACAGTGACAGGATCTTCACTGAGCTTATCAGCTCTATTCAGAAAAGACGAACTGAGGTGAGACAACTGATCAGAGCTCAGGAAAAGAGGGAGATAGGACAGATCAATGATCACATACAGAAACTGGAGCAGGAGATCAGTAATCTGCAAAATGAGAATGATAAACTGAAGCTGATTTTACATACAGAGGATCACATTCATTTCTTCCAGGTATAAAAAGTATAATATAGACTAGAGAAAGGCTTTTTTTTAATGAAAAACTGACAGTTTTGTTGATTCTATTCTTATTGGTTTTCTTTCAATTTCAGAATTACTCTTCTCAATCTGGAGTGTATCTGTGCACAACTTCACCCAGAGATGTTAATTACCTCCTGACATTTGAGAATGTAGACAAATCTGTCTCAGAGCTGAAAAACCAACTGGATAAAGTCTGTGAAGAGCACATGGACAAAATATCAAAGAAAGGTGAAGTAACACTGTCAAGAACCATTCAGACCTTTACAAGTATGTAGTTGAGATGCAACGGTATGATATTTCATATCACAATTATAGTGAACAAAATGATATCAATATTTTCAATCATTAAAATGTCCTGGAAGTGTTCAAAAAGTACTCATACACACAGTCACACACTAAAATCATTTCACCAAGTTTTATATAGAAAACCAATAAAGAACAAATAGCATTATGGACTTTTTGTTTGCATTAACATTAAAATAACGTTAAAAATGATAGCCGGATTAAAAAAATATATATATGTACACTGAACAAAATTATAAACGCAACACGTTTGTTGCGTTTATAAATGTTTTTGCCCCCATTTTTCATGAGCTGAACTCAAAGATCGAAGACTTTTTCTATGTACACAAAAGGCCTATTTCTCTCAAATATTGTTCACAAATCTGTCTAAATATGTGTTAGTGAGCACATCTCATTTGCCGAGAAAAGAGAGTATATATATATATATTGGTTGGGTGACTTAGAGTGGATAACATGTTATCTACTATATCGCTGGCCTCCGTTACACTCACTCCCCTAAACCTCACTCCCATCCGGGTCACAGCACCAATGTAACCCCTCTCTCCCGGGTCCTCACTGCCACACCTCATTCTTGTTCCGAGTAGGTCTCGAACCCGGGTCTCCGGCATGGGAGGCGGACGCACTAACCAGGAGGCTAAAGACTGCAGCCTCTAGCTTCAGTCGCTAGAGATCAGGGGAGTGAGGTTTACCTGCACAGCACCTACTCGCTGGCCTCCGTTACATCAGCATCCATTATAAAACACTCGTGCTTTTAAGCCAAATACACGCTACAAAGAATAATTCTGGACGTGACTCTCCGCAATCTCTGATTTAATCGGTCAGGTTTTCTCTGTATTAAAGCTGTTTTGAACTTAATGTTTGAACGCATTCGTTTACTGGATCCTTGGACTGAAAAGTTTGCAGAAGTTTACTGGTTTAAAAAAATATCTGATCACAAAAATCTGCTTCTTTTCATTTTTAAGGTACTGTTTTCATTATAATGTACAGATTCAAATTAGTAATCTATAATTAAATATTATTTTACCACTCTGCGCGCCTCCCCTGACATGCTCTCACGCCCCAGACTGACTACGCTTGCATTCACATGATTTGTCGAGATGAGAGGTAGGCCTAATTCACAGTGTCCCCTCCTGGGTAGTCTGATTTTTATAGTGTCATTTCCAATTACCCAGATACTGACGCTTTGACTCTGAGTACCGGCAACATGTGATAAGTGCCGGTATGTTAAAGATTAAAATGTAGAAGTGCTGGTGTTGTGCCCATTTTTGACCCCCTGCCAGATTTTCACCCCTTTTGTTGAAAACGCAATCTGATTGCCTAATCCTAAACCCACCCCTAATCCTAACCCCTCCCCCACACCTAACCCTAAATCTACCAATGGGGGGTAATAGAATTAGGAAATTCAGAATTCGGCACAACACCGGCGCAGTCTGACTGCGTTACTGTCTTTAATGGCTGTGTTTAGGGAATGTTTGCATTTATTCACATGCGATTTGATTAGCTACTCATGTGGTGGACAATCATGATTTTTGTCCTAATGCAGGACACTAATGAATGATACGCATCAGAGGGGATGTCGAAGTGGGAATGCGCAAAGCCGTCTGATAAAAAAGTGTGTATACGCCATATACCTGCGTATACCCTCCACTACATCACTGGTTTAAATAGTATTTCATGCTGTAACTGTATAGGGACAAATATAATATGTCTCCTATGAACTGCTTATGTGAATATTATGTAGACCTATTGTTTAAATCAAATTTATGCTTTAAAAGTAGAGTAATCATAGCAGGTTTCATCCATTTGTCTGTCCGTTTAAACATCTGCGTTTAGCTACAAATGTTGTGTTTGACGACAGTATTCTATAAAAATGATTTTCATTCTGATTCTGGCATCCAAACGCACACCAATACCTTTTTTCTCTTATTCCATGGATTTTACCCGTTTCCCTCCACTTGTTACCAGTGTTTTTCTGGCACCACAATGCACGCGCAGCTGCAAGTGTAACAGTGTCTACTCCAAATTGGTCTATTGGGGCGTGACCTGCCTTCCTGTTTCACTTGAAATTGTGTCAACACATAAGGTGCGTTCCAATTGACAGGGTCCCTATGCAGTGTTCACTGCTCCCTACTCCCTCAGCACGAGATATCCGTTAAAGGTGGACTTCGCTGACAATAATCGCTCATTTGGAATCCCCTGGAACATCATCAAAGAGAGGGGTCACGCAGATTATGATATAACATAAATAAATATAGTAAATTATTTTACTTTCAGATTTAAATACATATAAAATACATATACAATTATGTTTCTAATAAATATAGTCAAAATGTATATGTTTAGACGGTTAACAGATTGTAGTGGTCTCATCTAATGCGCTTTCTTTCTCACAAGCAGCCCCATAGTTAACTCTCCTGAGGTAAATAAAGTAAAATAAAAAATGACAGAGCCCCAGCTATTTCTTGCTGGTTTTACTTAGTTTCACCTATTCATACAATATGCAAATGTAACATTCATTGCCATAACCATTCATAAATACTCTAATTTGTACTATTTACCGCAACCCCTTCATTGCAGAGCCTTTAAAAAAAACTCTTAACGGTTCTGCTCCATCTTAAGTTCTGAAGCGGTGTGCAATGACAGCTGGGTGATTTTCCCTCTCCACTTCCTGCGAAGTGATGTATCTATGTTCCCTTATTCGCTATTTGCCGTTCACAGCGCCCTTCGAACTGAACATGTTCGCTCCCTTCGGATTGGAATCTCACTTATGATGGCGGAATACCCTGTGAAGTCCACTTCGCAGTCCACTTACAGTCAAATGGAATGCACCTATAGACTAACGCGGCGTGTTTCAAAGCACTTAAGGGGACTTTTTTTAAAATTATTATTTATGTATTCAGGCCATAAAATAATTCTGTGTAATTTCTTTTTTAATAGTTGCTGATGTCCAAATTTTCAAACCCACTAGGCTTCAAGACAGTGAGTATTTTTATTATTATTATTTTACCATGCAGATACTTAAATAGATATAGCATAATTCCACATTTTAGTCCATTTATTAATGGACTAATTCACTCTGTTTTTTTTACTTCTATTACTCATCTAATATTTCTACTGTTCCAGATGATTTGTCATCTTCAACTTCAGAATCAGATTCAGAATCAGAAAGCACTTCATTGCCAGGATCGTTCACATTAAAAAGGAGAAGGCTTTGATGAGGAATCCAGAGTGATTTTCTAAGCCCTTTTCCTCAATCTGCTGTCAGATATATATACAGTTCTTGAAGGGTGGGCAGGGCAGCACCAATAATTCTCTCAGCAGTCCGATCCGTCCTCGGCACTGTAAAAAAAAAATGCTGGGTTAAAAACAACCCAATTTGGGTCATTTTGGCAACCCAGGGCTGGGTTAAATGTTTGAACCAGCATGTTGGGTTGCTTTTTTATAGTTTATTCACGCGCTCACACTTACATATAATAAACAGAGTTAAGATTATGCGTATTTGGCGTGCTGTCCGAGTGGAGGGCTCCGAGCTCTGAATTTTGGCCTGAACCCAGAGTACCCCCCTTACAGTTTAGGATAGGAATTAAGGGCTTGGAATGAGATTAGGGCAAGTAAATGATTTTTGTGTGAACTACTCCTTTAAGAAAGAAAGAACAAGAATATGACTTCTCTCCAAAGTTGGTTTGAGTTCTGCAATGAAAAACACGGACATCAATGGTTTAAATAAAATGTGAAGAAGTCATCATACTGTTGTTGCATCAAAATGTGACGAAAACAGGCAGGAGACAACGGAAACAACTATAAAAAAAAAAATTATAAAATAAACTCACATCAAATCAAGTGCTTAGAATTATGTTTTCCTATGTCTCTAGCTTTGAACATCTACAAAATCTTCTATACTCTCAAAAATGTAAATATTGTAAAATCTTCCGTAAATATGTCATAAGAAACTCACTGTATTAAAAATATGTCTTCCGTTCAGTAAAAGAGTAATCGGTTAAGACTGTTTCTGAGACGAAAACCATGTCCACGTATTTTTCAATGTAAGCTCTTTTCGGACTTTTTCCGCCTTCCATCTGAAGACGCTGAGAAAATGGCGGATTCTCACATTGGTGTCATCCGTTGTTGATGCGACGTGCGTACTTGGTCCGTGTAATGCTTCACAATTCAATTTTCAGACCATATGGTCCAAATGCAAAAATAAAAAATGAAATCAAATGTTAATTTTTTTTCAGTTACTTCATAAATTAATAATTGCCTTTTTCTCTCCTTTTTTCAATTTTACTTTTGCTAAATTGTGACTTCAGAAATGATCGTTTGAATAAATAAAATCTAAACGATTTTCTATTTTCCCATTTTTTAATCTTACGATTACTGCGGGCTGTACCATTAGCGCAGGGGTAATGATACTATTTACAGGGCTACTATTAAAGACAAGCAGAATAGCCCGGAATATGAAAGTTAAGTGTCAGAATATGAATGAAACGCGCAAAGTTTCACGTGAAGCAATTTCCTCCGGTAGAAAACTATCTGCCGTACACACACACATAACCACCGGAGATTAAGGCTTTACATAAAGCTTATTCATAAATACCAGCCGCGGAAATCTGTCTACATATCTCCGGGTAAAGACATTTGTAATCAAATGTAGCTTTTACAGTTCAAACTTTACCCTGGAGAGATGTAGATGGATTTCTATCAGCAGTCTCAACCCAGCATTTTTTTGGAGTGCATAGTCTTCTAAATTCAGACAATGAATGTGAGTATAACATAAAATCTTTTGTTACCACTTAATATGTTAGAAGTATTTGTTTTCATTTTTGAAGTGAATCTCGGTTTTTCTTTTATTTGGTTGCGGTCCCTTTAAGAATATTTAGGTCCATTATGTAGTCATGCTATGTAAGTAAGTAAGTACATTTTATTGATATAGCACATTTCAACATAGCAAAGCTATCCAAAGTGCTTAACAATGTAAAATAAAATTAAAAGAGAAAAGGAAACAGAAAAGAATAAAAAAAGACAGACAATGACAAAACAATGAAATGAAATTAAAATGATAAGGAGAAATGATATGTT